CAGCAGAAGTTTGTGGGTAAACTGGTGTGGGAGGTGGAATGAAGGGGTAAAGAGGCGTTTGTAACAAAAAATGTTAGCACATGAGCGATTTCTATTTGTAAAAAACTTTGTTATGCTAACTTTTCTCTATCTTTTTTTCTGCAGCACTGTAAAGCCCTTGTGGTTTAGCACTTCTTTTTTTATTTTACATAATAATATCTTTATTCCCTCTTTACCTACTCCTCTTCTAACTGTACCCTTCTTCCTCTATCCACAGCTTTGCTGCATAGTTCTAAACAGTATTCCTGAATCTACCCGAATCTGCCCGACAAATGCCCCAGCATGCTTGATAGTGGTCTATCTTTGGACTTAGCATAAACAAATTGTAATTACATATTGTAACCTTTACAAAGAAGGATGACGAAGTAGAGATAAGATTAATAGATAAAGATCTTTATCTTTATCTCTACTTTTCATCCTGCTCATTACCTGTGTTCTCTTGAGGTCACCTTTATTCTGTCACTCACTAATAGGTACCTTTTGCTCTCATTGTAGCTACCATTAATGAACGGAAAACGACATGTCACCCTTTCCTAAAAAAAAAAAAGGAGGGGTTTTGCGGAAGTTAAGAGTGAGAGGGAGTGCATAAGAAGACGCAAATGAGATACCATAAATTTTGCTGAGAGAAATATGTGTTTTGGATGGAGATTAAAAAGTAGAGAAAGCTAGGAGTAAATGGAACTGTGCTGTTAAAATGAAGTGGGGAAAATCTTAGTATGGCAAGGTGAAGTTTTTGGAAAGATGTAGAGAGTATTTTTAGGAGTGTTAAATGATGATGAAAGGAAGGCATTGATTTTGTGAAATAAGCGGAAGGAATAACATCTTATAGAAGTAGGAAAGACTCCAGATGTATGTGGGGGGGGGGGGGAGTATGTGAGGACAGTGGGTAGAATGTTGAAAAGGTGGCAAGTCGCTGGGACAGATGCTAAATGCAGGTGGGGCATTATGTTTGTGTGGTTAGTGTCTTATTAACCCTTACACTGTCGGATTGCCATAATTTATGGCTTGCAACCAGTGTGGTGCCGTAGCATTATGCCAAAAATTAGCGGCTTCAACAGTAGTGGAGAGAAGCTAAGGTAGACCTACTGTGAGAGAATGGGTCCTTGTGGTCAGTTGTGGTAGTATAAAAAAAAAAATTGGGGAGCAGTGGTGCATTATGAGAAAGCCATTTCAGTAGTCCTTGGATTACCATGCCTCGTGGTAGAAGTATCTCACTCCCGAGTGAAATTGGGAATATTCTCTTCCCAAGGATAGTTCTATCACAAGATGGATGTGTCAGTGAAAATGAATTTCATGGTTTTGAAGGTTTGTGACTGAAAGCAATGCCAGGATACCAGGTGCAGGATAGGGACAAAGGGAGAAGGACAGCATGGATGGTGAGGGTGGGTTAGGACACATAGGTGGTTGGGGGTGGCGGCATGTAAATGAGTATATTTCAGGTATTACATGAATACAGTTACGTACAATTGATTATCATACATACGCAGCATGTGTAGAGAACCTAGGATAACCAGAAAAGTCAGACAAAGTGACTTATTTCAAGTTGTGGGTGGTTGAGGAGGGCAGTGTGGGTTTGTGTAATCAAGTTTTGTAAACATATATAATGATAATATTTGTGCAGTTTATTTGTATTGCATACAACGACTGGATATAGTATCTACCCATTATGCATTTATACTGGTCTCACAGGGCCTCACAAATTACTGAAAAATAAAATACGTATTAGCAAAGAAAAAACAGAATAAAGTAAAATAATAGTACCGAGTGAAAGGCAGTCGCCGATGTTGCTGTATGCAGTCACTTTCTGTCAACTTCCGCCTCTATTATCTCGGTAACTAATGATCATAAATTTTTTTTTCTTTTTTAACACTCATGAAAATTATTTCTCAAGATTTTGGTAAGAATAAATATATATATTTTTTTTAATATTTTTCGACACTGAGAGCAGTTTGTGAACAAGAAATCTCGAACTGTGACAACGGGTTAAATATGAGAATGAAAGGTAACGGTACATACGTAATTAGCAGACAACATGCAGTTTTTTGTGGTTTTGGAACTGTAAAGTTAAAAATCTGTTTTTTTTTTATAGATGAATACTTGTATTTCTTTAATTCATTAGTATTTGAAACCAGATGCACTGATAATTTGTGCCCATGTTCATTTTTATTTTTTTTTCCAACAGCAGCTATCTTCCACCAAGCGACGAAACCTGTAAAAGAAAAAACTTTCTTCTTTTTACAATTTAGTAATTATATAGAAGGGGTTTATCGGTGTCTTGCATCTTTTTTGACCTTGAGAAGGAATTTGACACAACTTGGAGGTTTAATATTTTGGCCCAGGCCCACTCCTTAGGCCTTGCCGAGGCAATCCTACCAACCTTCCTTAGAACTTTTTAACTGACAGACATTTCCGGTTCGAGTCAATAATGTGCTTTCCGGAATTCGTCCAAGCTGAAGGTGTCCTCAGGGATGTGTTCTCGTGCACAAACCACTTTTTCTCCTTGCTATAAATGATTTGCGCCTCTGTTCTTCACCAAATATTTGGTAATCACTCTATGTTGGATGACTTTGCTTTGCTTGTGCGGCGCTGACTGTCATCTCATTACAGTTCTCTCCAGCATGGCCGGTTTTAGACCGTGTTTCCTCTTGGGCCACCACGCATGGTTTATTTTCCAGTACTAAAACTCGCCCAAATTACTTTCACTAGTCGCTATGTCTCTCTGCTCATCCTTTGTTCTCTATGGATACCGTATCCACGAACATGATACAGTCAGGTTTCTAGCCCTTCTCTTTGACGTAGGTTATCTGGAACCTCACATTACCTCACTGAAGGCAAATTGTCACAGGTTGGCTGAACCTTCTTTAAACCCTTGTCATCTTTCATGGGGAGGCTGATCGTCGAACTCTCCTTCGCCTAATTCAGCCTCATTTTATCGAAACTCGATTATGCGTGACCAGAGTTATTCAGCGGCCTATCCTGACTACTCTCTCTAGCCTTAACCCCATACCTTCACCAAGGATTACGTTTATGCAATGGTGCTTTTCGATCTTCCCCTGCTGAGAGCCTCTAGAATGAAGCAGAATGTTCCATCCTTGTCTGATACGGCCCGGATGCCAATTGCCTTCGCTATTTGTACAATCTCCATCCTTCCATCTTATAGAATGGTCACTGATATTAGTAGACTTCTTTATTTGTTCGACGACCTGTTGCTCCGTCCTTTTTTTCTTCGCCTACATTCGCTCTTGTCTTCCCTTCAGTTACCACCTTTATATGTTCATGTTGAATTCACTTTTCCCTACCCCCCTGGGAAAGTTCCAGCACTGTTCGGGTCTGTTCAATTCTCACTCCCTTGACTCGAAAGCCAACTGACTACGGTTGGCTTCCCGGGCTCTCTTTTTCTTGATCACTTCCACTCTCATTCTGTGCCATCGCTGGTGTACACAGATGCCTCTAAGTCTTCAGACGGGTTTGGATTCGCAGCCAGTGTTTCCAGACAGCGTCGTCGCGGGGGCATTTACTATCTTCGGCTAGCATTTTTACTGATGAATTGTATGCCATTTCTTGCAGAACATTTCGTATTCCTTCTATGCAGTGTCATCTTTTGTGGTAGTCTCAGGACTCCCTTAGTGCTCTACAGGTATACGGAAAATTTGATACATCTCGCCCCCCTAGTTCTTCCGTATCCAAACTTTGGTACGCCGTATCATTACCAAGCATAAAGATTATTGTTTTCTCTTGTTGGGCTCTGGTCATCGTCGATGTACAGGGCACTGAACAGGCAGGACACTGCGCGCGGTCAGCAGTACATGGACGTACCAATTATATTATAGAACGTGTTCCCATTTATGGACATTTTGCTGTATAGCTACCCACCTTCACACCCGTTGGCAACGTTTGGTCATCCCTGCTTGGTAACAAACTTCATTCTATTAAACCCGAGCATAGGTTAGGGCCGTTTTTTCTTGTAATCAGTGACGTGGTTGGGGAGACCACTCTTCCTGACCTTCGCATTGGCCACACTATTTTACTCATGGGTATCTCATGGAGAGGCACCCTGTTTCTCTGTGAGCTGTGTCCTAGTTCCACGTAGTCGATCCCAGCCACCATTTGTTAGACTGCCCCCTCTTTCAACGAGCACGATGATAATACCTCGTCGTCTCCGCCTCTATACTCTCTCTTTACCTTCCTCTCTGTGATGGGGGAAAACCCCCTCCTTTAATCTGACTCTCTCATTGCTTCTTGCCAACGGACTGATTTACTCCACAAATCTCTGATGATGATACCTTTCGCACTCCCCTCAGCCCTTTCTAGCTAGTCTATTGCTGCCCTCTTCCCTTTCACCATCCACTGCCCGCTGTTCTCCGTACCATTCACTCTGTCCATCTCCCTTTGACACTGATGCCCTCGCTTCCTTCCTGCACTGCAGCACTGTATAGTCCTTGTTGGCTTCTTTTTGATTATATAATAATAAATCCCACAACAATGTAGGTGGAGAAGAGTTATGTAAAGTGTTAACATTAGTTGCAAATGGAGAGGAAGAGTGGAGTGAATGGAAAGAGGAGAGGCACAGGGCTGTTGCTGCCTTTGCCTGCACATTCTCGGTACTGTCCTCCAATTACCACACATGGAGCTACAAAACAGTGAGAAGGTGGAAAGCACATTATTGTTATATTACACTGGCAGACTTGAGTCCTGGAGATGGGAGTACAGTGCCTGCCCGATGAAGGAGGGGTGTTAATGCCTGCAGTTTTTATAAATAGTGTAAGCGTGCCTCTGGCACGACAGTGATGGAGTGAGTGATGAAAGTTTTTCTTTTTTGGGCCACCCTGCCTTGGTGGGAAACTGCCAATGTGTTAAAAAAATAAAAAAAAAAAAAAAAACTGGTAGAGAGGAGGCGTCCTGTGCTGCTGTGCTCACTTTTCTCTCACCACAACCTCCCAAATGTTATTAGAAGTAGTTCTGGTCAGTATAGTCAAGGTCTCGGAATGCACATATCTCAACGATTTACACGTTACAGTGGGTTCACTTTGTGATTTTGATGTATGCCTCATGGGCCAGGAACTTGTCTACCAAATAAAGTGAGGCACACCTATCATTTGTAATAAAACTTGTTTTCATTGAGGTATTTATTTACAGTACTTTCATTTTTTTTTTTTTTACACGTTTTCAAAAGTAAAAAACAAAAAGATCTACTTTTTTACATACTTTCAAATGTTGAAAAAAACGTAGATCTACGTTTGGACAGTTTAAGGGTTAATAAGGTCTCAGTTAAGTTGTATAAAAGGTGATCACTATTCATATCTTTATTGACTGAATTTTTTTTCAACAAGTCGGCCGTCTCGTCACCCTTCCTCGGTGGGAGACAGCCGACTTGTTGAAAAAAAAAAAAAAAACTAAGTCAATAAAGATATGAATAGTGATCACCTTTTATGCAACTTAACCGAGAGCTTATTAACCCTTAAACTGTCCAAACGTAGATCTATTTTTTGTTTTTTTTACTTTTGAAAACATGTAAAAAAACTTTGATCTACCTTTTTTTTTTTTTGTTATATTTGAAAATGTGTGAAAAAACGTAGATCTACTTTTGGAGCACTACGCATGTGAACATAGATCTGTTTGGACAGTTTAAGGGTTAAAGTAACTAATATCTGAAGAACCCATACTGTATATTATAGCCAGTTTTCCTCTGTGATGTACAGTTCCTTTCTTTTCCTCTCAGTCTGTACCCTATCATCCTCATTCACAGCTAGTAACGCTGGTGGTATGAATGCACCAGCTACGTATCGACCTTCCTGGTTCAGAAAGTTAAATGTGGTACATGCAGACTCCGTTGGCAGCAACTGTGGTAAAAAAAAAATATACAAATTATTGATACATAATGACAGAAAAACAAAGATTGAGATACAGATACTGTATGTGTGAGGGGGAAGGGGAGAGACTATATCATTGGTTTGCCTACACTACTGGGTACAGTGCAGTACATTATTATTATTATTTTTTTTTTTTTCAACAAGTTGGCCTTCTCCCACCGAGCCAGGGTGACCCAAAAAAGAAAGAAAATCCCCAAAAAGAAAATGCTTTCATCATCATTCAACACTTTCACCACACTCACACATAATCACTGTTTTTGCAGAGGTGCTCAGAATACAACAGTTTAAAAGCATATACGTATAAAGATACACAACATATCCCTCCAAACTGCCAATATCCCAAACCCCTCCTTTAAAGTGCAGGCATTGTACTTCCCATTTCCAGGACTCAAGTCCGACTATATGAAAATAACCGGTTTCCCTGAATCCCTTCACTAAATATTACCCTGCTCACACTCCAACAGATCGTCAGGTCCCAAGTACCATTTGTCTCAATTCACTCCTATAAAACACGCTCACGCACGCTTGCTGAAAGTCCAAGCCCCTTGCCCACAAAACCTCCTTTACCCCCTCTCTCCAACCCTTTCGAGGACGGCCCCTACCTCGCCTTCCTTCCCCTATAGATTTATATGCTTTCCATGTCATTCTACTTTGATCCATTCTCTCTAAATGACCAAACCACCTCAACAACCCCTCTTCTGCCCTCTGACTAATACTTTTATTAACTCCACACCTTTTCCTAATTTCCACACTCCGAATTTTCTGCATAATATTTACACCACACATTGCCCTTAGATAGGACATCTCCACTGCCTCCAACCGTCTCCTCGCTGCTGCATTTACCACCCAAGCTTCACACCCATATAAGAGTGTTGGTACTACTATACTTTCATACATTCCCTTCTTTGCCTCCATAGATAACGTTTTTTTGACTCCACATATACCTCAATGCACCACTCACCTTTTTTCCCTCATCAATTCTATGATTAACCTCATCCTTCATAAATCCATCCGCCGACACGTCAACTCCCAAGTATCTGAAAACATTTACTTCTTCCGTACTCCTCCTCCCCAATTTGATATCCAATTTTTCTTTATCTAAATCATTTGATACCCTCATCACCTTACTTCTTTTCTATGTTCACTTTCAACTTTCTACCTTTACACACATTCCCAAACTCATCCACTAACCTTTGCAATTTTTCTTTAGAATCTCCCATAAGCACAGTATCATCAGCAAAAAGTAACTGTGTTAATTCCCATTTTGAATTTGATTTCCCCATAATTTAATCGCACCCCTCTCCCGAACACCCCTAGCATTTACTTCTTTTACAACCCCATCTATAAATATATTAAACAACCATGGTGACATTACACATCCCTGTCTAGGACCTACTTTTACCGGGAAGTAGTCTCCCTCTCTTCTACACACCCTAACCTGAGCCTCACTATCCTCATAAAAACTCTTTACAGCATTTAGTAACTTACCACCTATTCCATATACTTGCAACATCTGCCACATTGCTCCCCTATCCACTCTATCATATGCCTTTTCTAAATCCATAAATGCAATAAAAACTTCCCTACCTTTATCTAAATACTGTTCACATATATGCTTCAATGTAAACACTTGATCTACACATCCCCTATCCACTCTGAAACCTCCTTGCTCATCCGCAAGGGCTATTCAGCGGTGCAGTACATTAAAGAAAGTATGGGTCAAATCAAGAGAACAAAAAATCTTGTACACAGTATTTTGAGTAGATTATGCTGCCATTTAAGATTTATGATGTCTAATAAACTAGTCAACTTTGAACTCCCCCTGGTCCCACAAATAATACAAAATTGTCTACCTAATTAAATGTAAGATTTGTGTTTATTTGGTGTTAATGAGACATACTGTTCTCTAAATTAATCACACTAATCTTCCTTAATATTGACATTAAAAAAAAAAAAACAGATTTGGTAATGAGAAAGTCACAAAGCAATATGAACTAAATTCTATGGTGACTTTTAAATTTAAAGGTAGTGCACTAAGCTTTAAAATGGGCACAGTACTACAAAAAAAAAAAAAATATCAAATTGCCCCCCTCAGTAACAATGTTAAGATTCGTAATTTAATAACACAAATTTGGAAAGCTAGCTGTACAGTACCTCTCCTTCACAAGCCTGCCATTAGTCATTAAATGATCCATTTGAGTTTAGCTTTTCCTCACAAATATATCATTATATTGTACTGGTGAAAAAACTTCTGACATGGAAAATGTGTATTAGTTTTTATTTCAATTATGCATAGGGTTTATAATAGGTCATTACAGTCAAATTCCCATATGTTGCATCTCTAATTTGGATAATAGTAGTACAGTGGACCCTCGACCAACGATATTAATCCATTCCAGAGAGTTTATCTTTAGACGAATTTATCGTTAGTCGAATTAATTTTCCCCTTAAGAAATAATGGAAGTAGAATTGATCCATTCCAGACACCCAAAAGTATGAAAAAAAAAAATTCACATGAAATAATTATCCTACACAGAAAAAGGATACATTGCACAATAAATACTGTACTCAGTGAAGAATAAATGACACTTAACTTTATTGAAGATGTAGTGATGAGATGGGAGGAGGGAAGATGGAGTTGACAATTGTTTGGAAGGAGAATCCCCTTCCATAAGGACTTTAGGTACCAAGTCCTTTTCTGGGGTTGCTTCCCTTCTTTTAATACCACTGGGAACAACTCGAGTCATTGGACCTCTGTCGCACTTTGTATTCGATTATTTATCTTTTAATACCATACGTATTATTATGATGATTATTATGTTACTCAGCAAATTTTCTGTGCTATTAATTTTAAATGTTAGGGAGTAGCATGCCAAACAACCCCAGCCCTCCAAAAAATGGTGGAGAAGGGACACAAAAAAGTGCATGAAAAACAGATAGTAATTTAGGGGGTTTGACTGTACTTATACATACTCTGTACAGGCATTTAACCCTTTGAGGGTTTCGGCCGTACTAGTACGGCTTACGACCAAGGGTTTTTGACGTACTAGTATGCCTAAATTCTAGCCCCCTCAAATCTAGTGGGAGAAAGCTGGTAGGCCTACATATGAAAGAATGGGTCTATGTGGTCAGTGAGCACAGTATAAAAAAAAAATCCTGCAGCACACAGTGCATAATGAGAAAAAAAAAACTTTGACCTTTTTTTGGAATAAAACAGCGACTTTGCACTGTATTTTCGTATGGTATTTATTGTTATATTCTAGTTTTCTTGGTCTCATTTTATGGAATGGAAGACATATTACAGAAATTGAGATGATTTTGACTGGGTTTACAATGAAAAGTACCTTGAAATTGAGCTCAAAGTAGCAGAAATGTTCGATTTTTACCAAAGTTCAAAAGTAAACAAATCATGCCAAGCATCCAATACACGTCAACTGGTGAGTCTAATATTTTTCCACAAGTGCACCAATATTATTTATACCATTTTTTACACTAATGCAGTAGTCTGCATAACAGTAAATCTTCTATTTTTTGTGAGAATAAAAATTCCAAGTGGAAAGCAAAAGAATGTAAGAAGGGCCTTGAGACGTGACTAATGAACAGAGGAAATGTCATTTTAGTGCCAGGAATGTCTTTCTTGTTCTGGACCCTATTTAGAAATTGGCATCTTTTGAAAGTTATGTGAAATTGGCAAAATTGCTAAATTCTGACCTCTGTACTGGATAGTTGAAATTGGTAAATGGGTGGTTTCTTGCACTCATTCGATAAAAAAAAAAATGAAGTTCTAGCGAAATATTCATGTTTTTTGTCAACTAATACAGTGGAATTGGCCAAAAATGGGGCTCAAAGTGGGCAAAATCGCCGATGCGTAAACATCGCTGAGACCCCTAACTTTGCGAGGCAAAATTCCGTAAGTTTT